CAGAGATTTCTAATACATTTTATTGAGTTATCCAAGAAATAATCACCCTGCTAAATCCAAGTTAAACACCTGATGGAATATTAGGATGTTTAATTAAAAATGAAGTTATGCTGTACATGTGGGTGATTTTACACAGTGGCTAAAAAAGAAGGCCATGAAAAATTAATTTTGCTCAGTAAGAAAATACACATAGTAGCCTCTTTGTGAAGTTGGTAAGGGGATTGAACCACTCCAGCAAGATACACATGATGCAAACACAAGACTCAATAAATTAGGGGAAGGGGGTTCAGGGGAGACCTTCTCAATAAAGTAACAAGGGTTGGTAAAGGTCATGCACATTAAGACTGTCTTTCAAGAAACTAGTAAATCCTATTACTTCATGCTCAGCGATTCCATTGTGAAGGCACAACAGAGGGCCACTGGGGCCAGGTATTAGACTCCTTTCTCAGCTATCAGGCAGCATTCAGCTCCAGCAGGCCAAGATTTAGGCCATTCCTATACTTAGAAAATCTTGACAGTCCTGATGCTTTTTCCGTACCTTAGGAGAGAAAAACAGCCATAGTCTGCACTGATAAAGACAACAGGATTATTTGACAGTTGAAGGGGAGGGCATAACAAAAAGCACAGACCTCGTGAGAGATGAGAGTAGGATAAATTCCTGAACAGATAGCATGGCATAGGAAGGAAGGAAAGAGGAGGGAAGGAAGGAAGGAAAGAGGAGGGAAGGAGGGAAGGAAGGAAGGAAGGAAGGAAGGGAGGAAGGAAGGAAGGAAGAAAGGAAGGAAGAAAGGAAGGAAAACAGTTTTAAATTGCAGATCAGTGTCTATAATGAAACATCTTATAATAAGTTACTTCACCCCTCTGTACCTTAATTACCTCATCTGCCATATGAGAGTTTAGGACCAGATGACCCTGAAGTCCTCTTTAAATTAATGTTCAATAAAGTCCAGCAAATACGGATGCAACCACATCTTACCTCCCATTTAATTGACCACTCATTTATGTCTTTATTTATTTACCAAAATGTCTTGAAGATTCAAAAGTGAACACGATACATGCTTCACCCCCATGAGACTCAATGCCTGGGGCTGTAAACGAAGTGAGGAGACTGAGGGACAAGAGGGTGAACACTGGGTAGATAAGCAGGGAACAAATCTTGAAGGGTCTATCAAGAAATGTGAGGTCAATGGGGGATACTAAAGTTTTTTTCAGTATGGAATGATATGATGAGATCTGTGCTCAGATATCCTGTGGAGAACTGACTGGAGAGAGATACACCTGAGAGCGCTGAACGACTGTAGAGCCAGCCAGAATGGAAAGAAATGGACCCCAGTAAAGAGAATCAAAGGATTTGATGGGAGGTGAAAGGGGATAAGAGGGGTGACTCATTCTTTGCTGGCCAACAAAACTTGGTGGGTAAAGCCACCCACTGAAGAAAAGAGTAGAAGTGAAGAACCAGGGTTTGGTAATAGAAGAGGAAGAAGAGAATCCAAAAGTCATGGAGCTGATGTGTTCAGTGTGGGGTCTTTAGATTTAAGGTCCCCAAAGAAACATACTGGAAGACATTGGATATTTGCATTTGGATCACCTTCCACAGAATAAAAGAGCAGGTAGTTCTCTTTATGAATCATGGAAGATTCTCTCCCTAGTGGTTTTAACTATTTAGAAATTAAAGAATCTGTATGCCATCTTTAAATGCTCTGAATTCTTTCTGCAGAAAAGTGTAGACATACATGTATATTCAGGGAATTCATGGACTCCCAAAGTCTAGCCAGAGACCTGCAGAGGTTCAGGAATTCCAAGTAAAAGATCCCCGCCAGAGGTGGAAAGAAGGCAGAGGCTGAAAAGTGAAAAGGAAATAACTCAGTTCCTCCATCTGAGTAGATGAGACAATGTAGAAAATGGTTAGAGTTGTTTAGTACCAGCACTGCCAGACAGAAGATACAGCCAAAGACTGGCGTAATGGGCACAAACCAGTTTCATCTTCCTGGACCTTCAGTTCAACTACATTTTCTGAACTGCTCAAGTCTATGTGGTGAGCTCTGACCAACGGTATGTGAGAGGAAGGGACATGCGTGTCATTTCTGGTCTGAGGCAGTGACAGTGGGGGTATATTCTCCACGCTCTGTCTGTGGTCCTCGTCTCTGTGGCAATAGAGGCTGTGTGTTGGGCATGACTTCATCAGGTGGCACCAGCGGGGGCCTGGCTTAAGCAGGCCCAATCCCAATGCCCCTCAACCCTCCGCACCACCACATTTGACATATCAAACTGAGCTTTATTAATGAAGTAAATACCAATAATAACAATACCCCTCATATGTAAGGTCCATAGGTTAATCAAAATAATTTGCATTAGTTTTCTTTATAGAAACTATTGCTACCTGATACTATTTTATGTATTTATTTACTTTCCTATGTATAGACCCTCTAACTCAACTAGACCATAATTTCCATGCAGATAAGACCTCAGTTTTGTTCACTGCTATACTCTGTTTCTAAATCAGTGCTCAGCACAAAAAAGATCCTAAATAAATGTTTGTTGAATAAATGAGTGAACAGATTATTTCATGTGGTTCTCCTCTAAAGATATTTTTTAAAGGGCACACCATCAACAAAAGTGGTGGTGCTAGAAGGTGAGGGGTTAGGATCTACCCTGGAGCAATAACTGGGACAGATACTTTGAGGCAAGTACTATCATTACAACTTCTCAGGAAGGAGACAGGAATGTCTTGCTTCTCAAATAGTGAAATGTGGTTTTGGGCCAGGAGATGCTAGAAGGCAGAGACAAACTATGACCCATGTCTTACAGAACCAACTTAACTCAACGGTAGTAAGTTAAATGTTTTCATATATTATGGAATACAAATGAATGAATTTTGGGGGGAAAAACATGAGTTTTTGAAGAAATTTTATTTACCCTTGTGGTTGGCCTTTTCAGGATGGCCCTGGGTGAAGACATTTTCTCTCCTCTGTCAATTAGAATGACTTCAGAAGAAACTTTGAAAAACATTGATATAGATTAAAAAAAACAGAAACAAAAACAAAAAACCTGGGTTTGGGGTAGAAAAACCTCTGTATTCAGCTGTTTATTCTATGGCCTTACAAAAAAAGTTAATCGTTTGGACCCAATATTTTTGTTTAAAAATGGAGGTAATACCTATCTTGGAAGAGACCTGTGAAGAGTAAGGTGATGTATAGATAGTACAAGACACTGAGAAGTTATGTAACTTGCCCAAGGCCACATAACAAGTAAATGGTAGGGCTAGCTTTTGAACCCACATTTGTTTTGTCCTTCTCAAAGCCCTTGGCTCTTACAGATAGCTACTTAGAGTTAAGTCTGGGATTGTCTTCATACAGACTGAAAGTTCAAAGATAATTAGAAACAGTTAAATATTCTGTTGGGTTATTTTTAACTCCCTAGTTTTAAATTTTACATGCTCAGATCAATCTTACCCCATTTCAGGTTTTCAAAATCTCATATGTAACTTTTTTTCTAGTGGAAGAATGATATACAGAATTAGGCATGGCCATTATTCATCTCAGATTTTCTGGGACAGCCTTTATTTCAAAATTACACACCACTGAAATGCCCTGAAAAATCCAGTATTTCTTTATCCAGACTCTTCACTAGAAGCAGCACCAAATACTGTATTCAGGAAACATGGTCACCACACGTGTGGATATAAAGGAGGGCCACAGTGTACCTTGATGTGTTTGGGTGTCTTGGTGGAGACCGTGGGATAGAAACATTACAGAACCATGGAACTAGAAGTGCCTAATTTTGACCTAGTAAATCCTATGATAGTTAATTACCAGAAATCTGTATTGTTAACAAGTTAATAAGCCCTGTGGGTGAGCGACATGCACAATGAGTTTGGAACTCCTGATTTAGGAAATAATCCCCTTAAGAAAGAGTCCTGCATATCAAAGATGGCCACGATCCATTTTCTATTAGAGACCTTTGTAACCAAATAGTCACTGAAGTTTGAAGATTATCACTTAGAGGTACTTATAGAAGGAAACAATCTAGTGACGCACAGTGATCCGAGTATTCAGGAAAATTTTCACTTCCCAAATGGTCCAGAACATTTTCTGTCTCACATTCTTATCCATCAGCGTTTTTACTAAACCAGAGGATTCTGCAAGTGGAAAGGAGGCAGGGCATGCACCACATCTAATATATAGAGATTTATGGAAAGTAAGATGGGAACCACCCATCACTGGTGGTAGCAGCTTTCTCTCAGGGAGCATAATGGACTTTCTGAGGTCATCTACTATTAGAACCCACTTAACCCAAAGCAACCAAAACTACTGTTGACATGATTTTAATTCAAGAGCTATTATTCTCATGGTGTGTTTTCAACCGACAAAATATCTTACTGTGGATCATAAGATATATACAGCCTATGTAATTATATATGTTATATAATATATAATACACATATATATTAGTTTCTAGTATTAGTATCCATCAGAAAGAGTGAATTCAAAATGAACTTGGATGAGGAATAATTAAAAAGTAGAAAACTTTAAATATTTTGTAAATAAACAGCAATGAATGCATACTCCATGTTCCAGGCAAAAACTTATTAAAAATTCTCAAACGTGAAGGCAGGAAGTAGTATGTCCTAGGAAGGGAGTTGGCCATAAATTTGAACTCTATGCTTTAATACAGTCATACAGATTCCAGGAAAAATGGGCTCCAAATGAGTAAAACAAATTATGAAGTCACAAAATCCTGGCCAATCCCAAATATCTCTCTAAAAAAGTCCAATATTCTTCTAGTTGACAATAGCTGCAAACCCTCCACAGAATGACTTTGGGCAAACGCCCAGTGAATATGCATCACTGAAACTTCCCACCTCCTCCCTCCCAGCACTTCCTTATTAATAATGCCACGCTTCGAGAGCCACTTGAAACTTGAAACATTATTTTCCTCATGGATTACTTTATACATAGGCGTAAAAATTCATTTTCTAGAAGATGTAATGATAGTCTTACCCGTTTCACAGCTGGGCCCGGTGAAGCCTTGCGGGCAGGCACACACATTCGCAGCAATACAAACTCCTCCGTTCCTACAGCCGTCTTTGCAAAATGCTAAAAATAATTCAGATACATGACTTTAGTATTTTAGAAGTAAGTAGTTCAAGATACTTTTCTTTACTCCCTTGGAGATGTGGACATCGAATTATATGTTATTATACTTTCAAATTCCCATAAGACTTTCCATGCAGGTAAGAAACTTCAACCCGATTTGTAAAACAGTACTCTTTTCAACATTAAAGAAATATTTCACCCGTAAAATAAAACACTAAACTTTCTTTTAGCTAAAAACAGTAACCTGCACACAACAGGAAGTATGTGAGAATTAGAGTTGCATCTCATTGTAACAGTCCAGCTTGAAATGAAAACACGAAAGCTATCCTAGAGCTTTCTTAAGGAGCAAACTACCATTTAGAGACTGAGTAAAGAAAGAGAAAATGATTGGCTCCTATGAGACTCTGATCATTCTACACATTGGCCAATGTACCAAAGTATTAGAGAAATGCCCCGTCTTTCACAAAGTTCTAAATCAGTCCCAGTGATAAGTTGGCCAATGGTAAGAATTGGCTGTAGTGGTCTTCAGAAAGAGCCTTGCACTCCCCTGCTGAGGACAGGTCTGGATCCAGGATCAAGGGCAAAGGCATTGCAAAGCCTGCTGTGTTAGTGGGGTTTGTGAGTGAGGGGAATTCTTCTATGAGTAGGAAAAGGAGCCAAGATCTGAGCCATTGCAAGAGTGACCTCTTGAGATGTGCTGCCCAATTCAAAGAAGGTGAGAAAAACAAGATTGGTGAGACTGAGCACCCTTAGATGCTTCTGTTTCCACTTTAGCTTGTTCTTTGGTTCTATAAGGCTCAGAACCCATTTCCTCAGCCTGGCAAGGCCTGTAATGGATGAATTAGGCCAGCTTGTTTCAGGCACTGGGGCAAAAGCTTTCTCTCTAGTTTTCTGGCACGTGCTTCCTCTCATTAATTAGGATGTACTTTCTCGGAGTGGTAAAATAGAGACATCGGGGATTCTGGTGCTGAGTTAAAGGAAGGGGCACAAAGAGGCCATTCGGCTTCTTTGGTTGTAGGTCCCAATCTATCTTCATTCCAGGCAAACAGAGTACCTAGTCACCAAGGATTTGCAAAGAGATTGAGAATGTAAACCTCATAAATAACAAAGGGTCCATCTGCTAAACCGTGTGTGTGTCTTCCTTGGAATACTGTGCAAGGACATAGCACAGGACTCAATGATTCAGATCCTCCATCTACACTACTTATCTCTCAGCTTTTGACATTCCCAGCAGGAATACACACATGAACTGGGAGTCTTTATTCAGGCAACCTAGAGTCTCAACTTCCAGCAGAAATTTTGGACCCATGGAAGTTCTCCTTCCTTCAAAGATAAGAATTACCTGTCTGCATCTGCTCATGATTGCAAGAGTTCTTTATGCTATAAGCTTTATTCTTCACATTAATTATGAATCAGAGTGAAAGAGAAATAAGAGTGAGAAGTTGGGCTCCCAGATGAAATCTTAACCCCTCTCCTCTGCCAATTCTCAGTATATCTGGGTGCTCTTAGGAAGTCCTAGGCAATGGGCTTTAAACATCTGGCTTTTCTCAGGATCTGTCTAGTTTCTCTGGCAAAATCTTTTTGGGATTTAGACCTCAAAGTGAGTAGGCCTGTTCACATTGCTCTAAATTAAAGATTCCCATAGACTTTTTTAAAATTAACTTTATTTTATTATGTGAGTCACCATACATTACATCATTAGTTTTTGATGTACTGTTCCATGATGCATTGTTTGCTTATAACACCCTTTGTTCCATGCAATATGTGCCCTCCTTAATACCCATCACTGGGCTAACCCATCCCCCCTCTAAAACCCTCAGTTTGTTTCTCAGAGTCCATAGTTTCTCAGATTCCCATAGACTTTTACAAAGCAGAGTAATCCTCTGGCCCAACGATACCTGCATCCAATGTATTATTGTAGACTAGGTCTTAAGACCCATGCTCATCGGCCATCCCTAGTTATTTCCTACCTCCCACATACACAGTGTCATACCAAATTGATTTTAGTCAACTCCAGGATAATGGGCACATGTATTTGAGAAGTGTTTTTATATGAATCGTAAATCGTAGTTTTTATATGAATCGTAAAAAAATCTATATGACATAATAAGGAATACGGACTTTAGCCTAAAGGAGTTTGTGGAGTTTCCAAAATAGAACCTCTATTTCCCTTGTGAAGTAGGAGGTAAGCCCATCTGATGAAGGAAAAGAGGGCATTGGTGAACTAACTGGTAAATTAGTGGATAGTGGTTCACTACTGTCCACTGATGGAAAGGAAAATCTGGGCTCAACAGGACTTTTAAAAGAATTATTGATTGGCATTGACAAGCCAGCAAAAATGGGAAACCACAACAAGTAGAGACCCAATATTCCCAGTTAATTAGTGTTCAACAGCTCAAAAGAGAGTAGAGAAGAAACACTGTCAGACTGACCCCCGATAGAGATATTTATAGTGGATTTTGGTAGTAGAACAAATGGGTTGACTGTACTGTCAAAAAAACACAGCTGTCATGTTCGGATTCAAAAATAAGTATTTGAACCTAGGAGGAGACTGGCAAACTGAAAGAAAAGGGAGGATCAGAGAAATTGCGCTACTTCTGTAGCTGGTGTGATGCTGCTAATTGTATGTACTGCACAACTGAAGATCAAGAGTCATGGAAAGAACAGAGCAGGCAAACTGGAAGCAGAAGGACTTGGGGCAAGATGATACAAAGTTGACGTTTGAGATTTCGAAGGTGGAACAGTTCCATACAAAAGTGCCCAGGTGTGATTATAGGTGTGGTCTGCTGGACAGGAACAGAGATGGAAACCACTGTGGTGGAGGTCAAGGAATGCTACATCAACGCTGTTGAATAGTTTGGCCACGTAAACACCAACATAACCCAGGAGGAAGACTGTGAGCCACACCGCAAAGCTCTCAGGGGTGTGGGAAGTCCCTGGAAGGGAGATGACAGTGATGAGAAGGAATGGAGGGAGGTGAAGAGGGACTGCATTATCCTTAATGCCCCGGGCGCTGCCGTTTAAACCTTTTACCTTTGCATGTGGTTCCATTCCCCGTATAGCCTGGCTTGCAAACACAGTTGTGTCCTCCAACAGTATTGAAGCATAAAGCATTTTCATCACAGTTGTGCTGATTTGTGATACACTCGTCGTGTTCTGGAATGAGAAATACAGTCTGGTTACTCAAAGACAGATATTCAAAGAGACTGCATTTTAAACTGCCTCTGCATCTTGGTTATTGCGTGGTATTTCTTTCAAACACAGATTTCCACAAAGTATATATTAAAAAAGAGCTCATATTTTGAATATTGTATACTCCTCTTGAAATACATACATAGTTTACACATCCACAAACCTTGAATGCAAAAGGATTTGGACAGAAGACCCACCAAGAGGAGGAAGGAATGGAAGAAGAGGAGAGGCAAGAGTGTGGATCATTCTCAGAAGTGGATCCCAGAGCTGCTGTATACAGTCTCTGTGATTAATATTTGGGGGAGTTATTCTCATGAAATAAATCTGCTACCTCTCTCTTCATCCTGTAGCATGAAAAAGGGGCTAGGAAAGGATGTGAAATTGTATTGACTCATGAATCCCGGCCTGCAGGAAAATAGAGTTGAAGCTCTGGGAGTTAGTTAGGGTGCAGTTATCAGCTGCACCCCACACTTCCAGACATAAAGATACACACGCAAACTACTTGGGGAATATCTGACCTCCTTAGGAAAATTCTCTCCTTCTGCAAAGAAAGTGTCAGAGTTCTGTTAAAGAAGACAACTTGCTTTTATGATATGTGAAATCCAAACTTTAAAACACACAATCGATATGGTACTTCCTTTCACTGTGGGCAACCTGACACTTTAGAAAGCACTGAAGCATCTGATTCTCCCAGCACCCCTGGGAGAGGTAGAACCAACATCATTATAGCCATTTTGACAACGAGTCAATAGTGGCTTCGAGCGCTTAAGTCGCCTGCCCAAGTTCACAGGAGCATTAGGCAACGTCAGAATTCTAGCTCTGTGTTCAGCAGAAATGTAAATATAAGGAATAAATACAGTGAATATGAGAAAGAAAACAGATCTGACATCAAAATCAAGATGAGTAGGAAATGAAATATAAGTGAGGAAATGTATATAAACTAGTTCAGCAAAATCCCTAAAAGTGGCACTACTCATCATGTGGTCTCTTACATAAATACTACTTAGGCCTAAAATTAAAAATATATTTTAATACACTTACATTAATTGAGCTATTGATTCACTAGGATATAAATCATCAAAGCAGAAAGAAATATTCACTTTTCATTTTAGAAGTCTTTGTATTCTAGACAATATATGTATTATTCCAGACAATATATTATAATAATCATGTATTTATAACTTCAAAAAAAAATTGCTTTGGGCATATTGAGATTAGACTAAAATCACTTATTTCAACTACTAAAATAGAATGCTATATTTTTTCAAATAAAGATTAACATTTTGTGCCCTGCGTTACATATAAGTGCAAAGTTATAATAGTTTGAACTATAGCCCTGTAATAAAATTCTTAGATTTTATTCCCAATAATCTTTCAGAGGAAAGAGAGCTCTCAATCATTAAGGTTTTAGAATTGCATGAATAGATATCCTCCAAATCCCTGGCTGAATTTCCCCAAATTGTAGAAAATTCCACCTTTATTATCTAGTATCAGAAACTTTCATAGTTTTTTACAAATTCATGCCCATCGATGATAGCTTAGAAAGTACCTGGATTACACATAGGGGCTACCATTGGACCACTATACAATTTCCGAGGGCCAGGAATGGGCAGTCTACCTACCCCTGAGTCTGGCTGCCTGGAGCAAAATAAATCTACACTCTCAAGTTTGCACCTGCTGCCAATTTTCTTCCCAGTGCAATTCAAAGGGCTGCAGTTAATCTATAAATCTCTATATGGACAGCCGTAGGTTCTTTAAAGACAGCTGCTGATTGATTTGATGGTGTTTTCATCCCGGCCTTGGTTGTCTTCTTAATTAGACAGAACCCACTCCATAGAGGAGGGGCCTAACAGGATGAGCTTAGCACCCAGTATGATGATTCCCATTCACGTTAATTAATTACACAACCCGGGATCTGGTTACCCCTGCTGTCATTAACTCTCGAGGTCACTGAAATGAGTAAGCATGCTCCTGAGCAATTTGAGGGTAAAGAAAGTTTTCAGGTTTTGAAATACACCCACACGCTCCTTTACACATACCGTTCCCTGTGCCTGAGGTGCCTGCCCCACTGACTCTCCCGGCAAACCCCTACCACTTCTAAAGATCACACTAAAAAGTCTCGTTTTACGTGCAAACACCTTTCTCGCCACCTCCTGCAGAGTTAGGGGCTGTTGGCTGTTTTCCCTAACACCATATATAAGGCTCTGTTATTGTATTTTATCAGAAATGTCTACTACTCCTTGATTCTCCATCTTCATGCTTTACCAGGAACTGTTAATTTTTGGACAAGAATTTTGTATATTTATTTGCATTTCATTTCAGCATTCAAAGAATGTTTCTTAAATATACAATTAAAAGAATAAATGACCAAAGGAAGAAAGCTAGGAAATGCTTCCTCTGCCATTATAATTCAAGCCAATCTCAATTCGTTCAGTTGTAGACAAGATGCCAAATAGAAGGCTACTGAAAATCTAAACTGTTTTTTTTTTTTAAAGATTTTATTTATTTATTTGACAGAGAGAGACACAGCGAGAGAGGGAACACAAGCAGGGGGAGTGGAAGAGGGAGAAGCAGGCTTCCCGCAGAGCAGGGAGCCCGATGTGGGACTCGATCCCAGGATCCTGGGATCATGACCTGAGCTGAAGGCAGTCGCTTAACCAACTGAGCCACCCAGGCGCCCCCTAAACTGTTTTTTTTTAACTAATTTTACTGTGGTGATATTTTGTTTGGGATATTTCAAATATTAATTAAGGTAGCAAGACATACTTAGAGAACAGAAAATATTAATTCCTTTACACTGTCACTTTAAAATTTTTCACACTACTTAAAGTTGGTTATACTTATAACCATCAACTAACAGTAAACCGTGATCTTAGGAAAAGTTTTAAAAAATGCCTATGTCTCGGGGTGCCTGGGTGGCTCAGTGGGTTAAGTGTCTGCCTTCAGCTCAGGTCGTGATCTCAAGGTCCTGGGATCAAGCCCCACTTCAGGTTCTCTGCTCAGTGGGGAGTCTGCTTCTTCCTCTGCAGCCCCTCACCTGCTTGTGCTCTCTCTCTCTCTCTGTCTCAAATAAATAAATAAAATCTTTTTTTTTAAGAAACTTCTATGCCTCACAGAAGAATTAACTTAAATTTGATAGCCCTCCACAAAACAGAATGTGAGTGAGACATGGCGCAAATATTCTATAAGGTCATCTCAGTAAATAGGTAATTATTGCTGCTCTATGTCCAGTTTTGGTCAAATGTCAACTTCTTTCTTTTTTTTTTTTAAAGATTTTATTTATTTATTTGACAGAGAGACACAGCGAGAGAGGGAACACAAGCAGGGGGAGTGGGAGAGGGAGAAGCAGGCCTCCCGCGGAGCAGGGAGCCTGATGTGGGGCTCGATCCCAGGACCCTGAGATCATGACCTGAGCTGAAGGCAGACGCTTAATGACTGAGCCACCCAGGCGCCCCCAAATGTCAACTTCTTAGCCTTTCCCTGACTCACATATCCCTGAGGACTCCACCAGCAACCCACCAGTCAGGCTCTCCTTTTTTAATACTTCCTCCAACATTTGTAACATACAATACATTAAATTAAATAAAATAAGGAGGGAAATATTAAGATAAGATTTAAATCAATATTATGTTGCAGTGTTTTTTTTTTTTTTTAAAGATTTTATTTATTTATTTGACAGAGAGACACAGCGAGAGAGGGAACACAAGCAGGGGGAGTGGGAGAGGGAGAAGCAGGCTTCCCGCCGAGCAGGGAGCCTGATGCGGGGCTCGATCCCAGGACCCTGGGACCACGACCCGAGCCGAAGGCAGACGCTTAACCGACTGAGCCACACAGGCGCCCCTATGTTGCAGTGTTTGAGAAGAGCATGGCAGGATGTAGTAGTAAATGAATTTCAAGTGTTAGTTCATATATATTGAAAAGCAGACATTTCAGACCTGATGTTCACAATATCCAGTTCCTAAGATTCAATGCTATTTTCACATCCTCAGTTAAAATCTTCATTGTTCATGTGACATGACAGTCCAGATAAAAGCTGGGATTGAAACCAAATACACCTCTCTCTAACTGTTCTTCATTAAAAATAATAGCATATGGTTATTTTAATCAAAATTGATCACATTTTGTATCTACACATTTTAAATTTAAAATGGAAAAAATAAACATACAGGAAAAAAACATCACTCAACAGTACTAAACAAAAGTAATGTAGTTGTCAATCATCACAATACATTATACATAGACTCAAAAATCTTATAGTGATAGCTGGCAAAGATTTGTCCTATGTGCCATAATTTGCTATGCATCCTTATGTACTCCGTAAAACTGATTTCATACCAGTGACAGGGGTCAATATATTCAAATTCCTCTACAGAAAAAAAGTGATAATTATATACACTTGGATTTATCTAAATGTCACCTAGAACAATAATACTTCAGTTTCACTGATCAACTCCTAACCTGAGTAGCTTAATGTCTCTAAAATCATTTTAAGACTCCATACCTAACAGGTCATCGGTCATTGTTACATACAGTTGGACTTAAATTGAGCTTGAAATTTGGTATTCATATTGAGCTGTTTCCAAAATGAATGTACTATCTAGAGACAAAACGGTCACGTTAAAATTCACATAGCTTTTCTTACTATGATTTCAACACAGACATACAATACACATAGCACATGTTCTATTCAAGAATTTCACTGATAGAAAATGCAAATACTACAGAAAATAGGAGTGAAAAGTAATTTATCTGTAGATACACATTCAGTTCAATTACATACAATTTTCTTCAAGGTCTATTTGTGTATTACAATTTTCTTAGGATTAAAAATGTGATTATAAAAAATTTGATTATAAATGGTAGCTCCCTCAAAAAGCTTATAGTTTAGTTGGGGAGATAAGACAAAAATACAAATGCCTTTAATACGTGGCTTTGTTATGAGAAATAATGAAGTAAAGAAGAAA